CACAGCTCACAAGAAGCCTCTGCATCCTGAGATGAGGTGATCCTCCTGCCTCAGCCTCCCAAATAGCTGGGCCTCATGCCTGGCTGGTCTTAAACTCTTGGGTTCAAGCAATTCTCCCAGCTTGATCCCCCAAAACATTGGGATTACAGGCATGAGCCATGGCATCTGGCTGTGCAAGTTCTTTTTAAACTGCCTGGTACAAACTGATCTTCCAAGGGAATCTCTAGGCCTATGGACTGTTAGTGTTATTTTGAAAATAGTATTTGGTGTGTCTGTATTTTTTCACCTAATTGCCTGAAATTTATATTAGTATTCTTTAGCCTAAAAAAGGTACTTTTTTTCAACTATCCATTTTTAGATTTATGTTCTTATTAGCTTTGTAGGTGAGCCCATATAGCTTTGTGAATTTACATCTGCCAAATGTTCTAAAATTAGTATAAGGTAGAAGGATAGATGCTTTCTTCTTTTGGTAAGCTTATTGACACAACAGCAGGGATGCAAGCCCTTTCAGCCAATGCTTTTAAGGGGTCTTTTGCCATGGAAAGACTGGGGAGACAATCTCACGTTTAATCAGCTATTTCCTTCTTTAGTTGTATACAGTAGTTTCCTCTCCCTTATTAAAGATGTTAGGAACTTTTAAATTTATTTTAATATATGCATTCATCTTTCCTACTAACCTATAATTGTCAGATTCTAGGTTTGTTTGGTTTTTTTTTAGTTATCTTTGAAGACTGGATTAAGGGGAGGAGAATGAGAAGTTGGTATAATACTTAATAAAACTCAGTAAGAATAGCAACCCCCCAATCACTATTACTTTCAATATTTGCAGTAGAGAAAAGATCCCAAAGCCTGGTTATGGGACTTATAAATACTGTGTGAAATAATCACAAATCCAGGAGATAATGGTGCAAGCAAATGTTGAACAAGTCCCTCTCAGGGGAGAGCACTACTGAACAGCACTAAGAAAGGGTATTCTACATAACTAACCACTTAATTTTTACTGAAAAGTGAGTATTCTAGTAAATCTTTCCTCTCTATATGTATACAGATGATATACAGCATTTTAAGAAATGTTTGAAGTCATTTTTGAAGAGTACTATTCTAAAAAAGTTTTCATATATGTATCTATGATAACATTTTCTTAATGTCCTTAGAATTTATTCTTTGAAGTCTAATACTGATCAAACAACACTTCAGAAAACCCATTAATTCGCAATCTCATACATAGAGTAAAAAGACAACCACTTAACCTCTTTCTAAGATATGCTAGCTTTTATACATTTTATAATTTTTAATGTCTGATAATATTTAAATGGTGACTTTGACTTAAATTTTCACTTTTTTGATTTTCAGCAAAATTAGATTATTTTCTTAGGTTTGTAGAGATGGTCAAAATTTCCAAATTTTAAATAATTTATTGAAACAAATTATGTGTAAATATTTGTGATTTATTAAACTATGTTAAGTGACAACAAAATATAGGTAGTATGTCAACTCTGTGAAAAAATAATTTTATATATGCTATTTATTATAGATAATTAAGCATGTAACTATTGCTTAAATGATTATGTATAATATGATGCTTTTCATATGAATACATACATTGTTACAGATATCATATAGAGGGAGCCAAAAAAATGTTTATACATTTTAAGAAAAAAAAAACCTGTATTAAAATTGTAATACTCAATAAGATGAATACAAGTCATATTTGACTTCCGCAATTACAAGAGGTGCTCAAAGTGGTTCCCATCGGTGTCCAGACACTTCTGATTATGGTGAACATCTCTTAAAATGTGTATACATTTTTTTTGGCACTCCCAGTATATATATATCCATATGTAAACTATCCGGTTTAAAATTGTTCACCAAGGTGTATGTCTGCAAAAAATATTTTATTTTTATATATACCAATCATTACAAAATAAACTCAAAATAGTGAAAGTGAGAAAAAAAAGCTCATGCAAGCAATTTCACCGACTGTTATATATACATAATAATTGACTGACTGAGTCAGGGTCTCACTTTGTCACCCAGAATAGAGTGCAGTGGCATGATTATGGCTCTCAGCAGCCTCAATCTCCTGGGCTCAGACAATTCTTCTGCCTCAGCCTCTCATGTTTTTCAGGCATGCACCAAAACACCAGCTACTTTCTGGATTTTTTTGAGAGATGAGTTCTCACTGTGTTGTCTAGGCTTACACAATTATTTAAGACATAATTTATAAATGATTGGGCACACCTATGACCACACCTACTTCTTTCCATTGACTACTGTCTTCAGAAAAAAGTGGAGAATTTGCTGATTAGGGTATAGAGAAATGTGTGGAATTGGCTGATTAGATTTATAAAATATACACAACCACACTTGGGGGCTAGCAGCCCCAAGTCCACATTGGTACAGTCCAAGTTAACAGCCCTGGTATACTTTTTTAAAATGAGATAATTAGTACAGATGTGTTGGTTATCCCAGTTAATATTCTATTGCTAAACAAGTTCAAATCAATAAGGACTAGGGACTTAATAAGCAATTATAAATTTAAAAAGTAGAGTAAGAGAAAATATTTGAACTATGAAGATCATAAACAAAAGTTTACTTAGTGAAATCATTGTTTCAGTTAAAATGTTTCTTTGAACAACTTGTGTTAGGTCAACTTTCTTGTATTTCACCCCAAACTCATTTACATTTTTTTGGTTGTTACCTCCAAGTGTGATTGTATATACTATATAAATCTAATCAGCCAACCCCACCCATTTCTGCATAATCTAATCAGCAATCGCCACCTCTTCCTGAATGCAGTCACCGATCACAAGAAGTGGGAGTGGTCATAGGTATGTCTAATCACTTATAAAGGACCAGAGAGGATATCCACAGAATGTCTCTTCCAGAGAAGATCCACTGAATTTGTGGCTGCTTGTCCTTTGAGAGCGAACAGTTACTGCTGACCTGGATACTGACAGACCTTTCAGAGTTTCTGGACGTGAGACCACTCATAGTAGACTCAGGTGTGTATGGAATGTAAAGTCCTTTGTGCTTACTTTAATTTTTTTATTTTTTATTTTTTGAGTTGAAGTCTCACTTTGTCACCCAGACTGTAGTGCAGTGGTACATTGCTCATGGCCACCACAGCTACAACCTGCTGGGCTCAGGAGATCCTTCTGCCTTATCCGTCTAAGTAGCTGGAACTACAGGCACATGCCACCACTCCTGGCTACTTTTTGTGGTTTATGGTATAGATGAGGTCTCACCAAGTTTCCCAGGCTGGTCTTGAACCCCTGGGCTCAGGCAATCCTTTTGCGTTGGCCACCCAAAGTGCTGAGATTACAGACTGAGCCACTGTGCCCAGCCCATGCTTACTTTATTTCATAAAAATACTTTAAACTTACCCATCAGAACACTTGGGTCTTGTCCAAACAAACAAGTAGCTTTGTTAGATATTTAAAATTATATCAATATAAAATATCTCTAACTAGAGCATTTGCAGTATATTGATGGGTGTTATACACCTATTTAAATATTTTTATTATACTACTTTTGGTACAACTAGATTTTATTAGGTCTTAGAAGATATGGTCCCTAAATTTCATGGAATTATGAGACCCATAAAGTACCTAAAATGTTCAATATAATGTATGCTGTAGTAATAATTTTTATACACGTCAAAGTTAAATGGGCTGAATTAACTTGAAAATATTTGTTGTCAAGATCCAGTGTGCTGTTCATGTAAAGTTTTCAATTTTCAGACTAGATTTGAAAAGTATTGAAAATAAATCTAACCACCTGGTAAGAACTCCCAAGAGACTACGGCTTCCAAATCACTATGGGGAAATATTGAAAATAAAGATGAATTGGTAGCCGTGCTTCCATGAACTGCACATCTGGATACTTTAGTATAGAGAAGAAAGCCCAGTGTTTGTCTCTACCTTTTTTTGTTGTTGTTTTAAAAGACAATTTGTTAATTGTTGAAAAATTGTTAATTATTATAGCTTGAATAGTCATCATTTTGAAATGTGAAGGTGTTTTTTCTGATTATTTGAATTGACTCTGGGACAAACATTCCTAAACTAAAACAAATAGATAATAATTACATTTTATTTATTGAAAGAGATTTTTGGTGTTAAAGTTAGAAGGATAAATTCAACTGTTTATAGCTTTAGGAGTTAACAGCTGAAGTCAACACTGATTAAATTCAGCAAGCTTAGATATAGCCTAGTCAATTTTTAATTGTCTTCAGAAAAAAATCTGTGAGTGAGTTGGGTGGCAGGGAGCATAGACTACTAGCATAGAGATCCTTTTGTATGTTACCATTGTAGAATCATTGAGAGATATAGAAAGACACAGAGATAGAGATTTTTGGACAAGTAACTCTGGAATCATCCCAACCTTTACTAATTCTTTAAGCTTGTTCAAGTAATTTGAGTGTGAATGAGAACACTGCGTGTTTTAACAAAGGATCCAGAGGACTCTCTTGTATCATTTTCTCATTTGCATCACAGTAGAGTTGGCACTTTGTATCTATGGGTTTCATATCCGGAGATTCAACCAAAACTGGGTCGAAAATATTGGGGGAAAGAAAAAGCATCTTTAGTGAACATGTACAATATTTTCTACTATTATTTTCCCTAAGCAGTACAGTATAACAACTATTTACATAGCATTTACATTATATTAGATATTAAAAGTAATCTAGAGATGATTGAAAGTATCCAGGAGGATGTGTTGAGGTTATTTGCAAATACTACATCATTTTACATAAAGGACTTGAGCATCCTTGGATTTTGTTATCTCATGGAGTCCTGGAACCAATTTCCCATGGCTGTTGAGGGATGACTAATCCAGTGTTTCTACATTTACCATGTCTAGGTTTGTACTGGGAGTAGATTAATAGGTAGATTGGACACAGCTGAAACAAACAACTGTCCACAGACCTTTTCCCCCTCATCAGAACAAAGTAAAATTCTCACTTAATGTTTTTTGTTTTTTTTTTAATTTTCAGCAACATGAATTCAGACACCCTGCAAGCCTTCCAGAATGAGCTTATCTGCTCCATTTGCATGAACTACTTCTTAGACCCAGTCACCATAGACTGTGGGCACAGCTTTTGCCGGCCCTGCCTCTGCCTATGCTGGGAGGAAGGCCAATCTTCAATGCGCTGCCCTGAGTGCAGGGAAATCTCAGAGAAGTCCGACTTCAAAACCAACGTCGTCCTCAAGAAGCTAGCTTCCCTGGCCAGACAGGCCAGACCTCACCACTGCCACAGCTCAGAGGAGCAGTTCTGTGTGAAGCACCAGGAGGCAGTGGAGCTCTTCTGCGAGACCGACAATAGACTACTCTGTGGGTCCTGCTCTGGGTCCTCAGAGCACACGGCTCACATCCACAGTCCAATAGAATGGGCTGCCGAGGAGGGCAGGGTAGGTGACTCTGGAAGAGCAATTCTTATCTCTAGGGTTTTGAATCAGAGAGAGATAGTGGGGCTTAGGGTAATGAGGCTGTCAAGAGCAGAGACAGTGGAGGTTGTGGAGATTTAAATGTGTCCTTTCAGTAGGGCTGATCAATTGGACACTAGTCACAGCTATACTGTGAACATTCACTAAGGGAAGTTTCCTTTGAATCCTTGTCAAATGTGTGAAGTTGGAGGTGTGGAGCAGGTGGCTAGCACCACACTGGGAACACCAGCTTCTGCTACATTCTTGACCCCTTCAGAGCCGGAGTATATAAAGTAAATTTCTCAGAAAGCGAATTATATTATTTGTAAGGTCATTTCAAATTCTTTATTATGTTTCTGTCACTTTTAATATTCCAAATATTGACCTCAAATTCGGTCCTTACTACTCAACCAAAGCCTTTTCTCATAGTTACGCGGGTGAAATCTTCAATACTGTCTTCCTCATTGCTAAAGTTCTTGATTATTTTGCAGGAGAAACTTATAAAGAAAATGAGCTCTTTATGGAAAATGACTAAGGAAACACAATACAATCTAGATAAGGAAACTGGCAAAATGAATTCATTAGGGGTAAGAATGAAATGTTTTCTTTGTTTTTATGCTGATTAACATAATGCTAGCTTAGACTTTTTAGGTAAATTCAAATTACCAGTTAAAGAACAGTGCTTTATTCCCAGGAAAAGAGTTGTGATTTTATATGATATTTTGGTAGTCACAGATATATAGGCCGGTATAAACTAGCTCATAGAATGCTAGTATCTTGGATAAATGGGGGACATGTAGATATTCCTAGTCCAAATTTGAAGGTTTGGATGAACCCTTTCAGATGTTGAAAATCTGAAGATAAGAAACCTTTGCCCTAAGTTTGAGTGTGAAGAAGAGGAAAGAAATAGAATAGTATATAAAGTATAATTATAGTGAAAATTTTTAAAGTAACTGCATAACTTTTTTTTTTTTTTTGAGTTGGAGTCTCACTCTGTCACCTGCTGGGCTCCAGCGATCCTTCCGCCTCAGCCTTCCAAATAGCCGGAATTACAGACATGCGCTACCACGCCCGGCTGATTTTTTGATTTATTGTAGAGATGAGGTCTCGCTGTGCAGGCGGGTCTCGAACCCGCGGGTTCAGGCAATCCACTCACCTCAGCCTCCCAAAGGCGCGGGATTACAGGCTGAGCCACCGAGCCCAGCTATTATCTGCATAATATTATGTATGCTTAAATATTTTTTAATATTTAAAAGAACTAGGCAAAAGGACAGAAAAGGAAAAAGATTTAGGGAAGAGAAGAAATAGTTCCTGCAGTAAGTATTGTAAAGGAATACCACAGGGGAGAAGTGAGGAGCCCTTAGAGGTTTCAACCTAAACAGAAAGAGAATAGGAACATTGAAAAAAATAGGACTAGCAAATATTCAAAACCCTTTGCAGGAGTTAGACAGAAAGTTTATAAATTACTTGGTTGCTGACACTAAGAATATAATTATTTGAAGTTTTTTGTCTTCTGATAAGCATTAGGAAATGTAATCATTTTAACTGAATGTTTCTGCAGGACTATGTGGCTTTAAGAAAGGTGATGATAGAAATTCATTATCAGAAAATGCATCTATTTCTCCATGAGGAGGAACAACTCCACCTGGAGACAATGGACAGGGAAGCAAGGGAGATTTTCCAACAACTCCAGGAGAGTGAAGTGAGAATGACCCAAAAGAAAGAAAGGTTGAAGGCCACATACAGAGAGCTAACTGAGATATGCCACAAGCCTGATGTGGAGCTGCTCCAGGTGAGGAGGGAGGGTCTGTCCTCAGAGCTGGATGGGCAATGCTGCTGGGGCCTTGAGAGTCGTTTGCAGGAACCACTACTCTTAGCCAAGGGACGCATGGTCCTGATTCTCATCTTGTTTGCCCAAGCACTTATTTCCTCATATTCTGGTAACCTTTGGGAGATTTTCACCATTTTAGTAGTCAGCATAGGACAAAATTCTCTTGTATGATCAAGAGTGCTACCCACACAGAGAATATCCAAAATCGCAAAACCCTAGGCCAGGGGAAATTAACTTAGGGTCCCTTATCCATTGTTACTCTCTGTTCTCCCACACAAAAGCAAGTTGATGGAGATGTTGAAGCTTTGCCTCTTACTACAAGTTGTGCCTCTTACTACAAGTTTTGTAGAAATAGGTAATCAATTTCAGTGCCCTCTGTTTTATATGGTTCCCTATTTTATTTTAATTGTTGTCAAGTGTGGTCAGATCTCTCCTTGGGGTTGACTGGGAACTGAGCAGCACTGAATAATTAGATCTCCTTGTGTCACTTCACAGCCTCTCCTTGGCCTCTTTCCTTCTCAATGCCCTGATGAAACCTATTATGGTTTAGTGTAGATTCTGTTATTAGCATAGCCTGGAATGGTTGCATAGAGGGGGATAAGAAAAGACACATTATTAAGACAGAAAAGCACAAAGAACACCAGAGAAGATGCAGAAAGACAAAACTCTCATGACTAACATTATTTTTTTTAATTTTCTTTGCAGAATTTGGAAAATGCATTGGAAAGGTGAGTCTACACTAAGTTTCTGTGCTTTCTGAGAAAGTTATTCTCCTGTTATTGACATGGATGTATGTGTTTTGAACTATCAGCATTGTTTCTCTGTGACTATTTTCTATTTTGTTTCACAACTGGCCCTAAGAAGTTTTTTTCTTAAAATGTGGCTAAAATCAAATACACGTAAATACAATTTGCCATTATGGATTTTGTTCCACCCACTTTCACTAGCTCCTCCAACCTGACCCATACAATTCTTAAAAAGGATCACAGAGGAGGCACCTATTCTGTAGAGGTGACAGATTTCCTAAGGACGGAAGGGAGGGAAGTTTTCTTCCCGTGAGAAACAAAGGCTGGGCCCTACCCCATCATGGCACACCCTGCTGTTGGTAGGACCTCAGAGGAGAGTGGCTGCCCCAGGACCCTCAACCCAGGCCTGCCAGGCAGGAGTTAGGCTTCCTTTCTTGGTACAAAAGATCAAAGCCTTCTGGCTCAGCTCAATGATATAGATTGTATCATTGACAATAGCTGACTGAGGTTCCAAAGGCTTTGCCTGAGACTGATGAGTTGAGGGAGTGAGAGAGACACAGGAAGGGATTGACAATGATTTCAGAAGTCAGATCATGTCTGAGAAGAATGGGGAAATTGGATTTTAGTATCAGTTAAATTTAAAGAAAAGTAACATTCTTATAGTCCCAAGAGGAATAAATGTATGCCCAATTAACCAAAACTGGGAGAATTCTGAAGAATTATCTTGAATTAAAAAGTGATAACTTTGTGACTGTGATTTAACCTTTGACCTGGAAGTATAACTGGTGCCATTCTTTGCAGAACTGAGTTGTTACAAATGCAGACACCCCAGCCAGTAAACCCAGAGTTCATTTCATGGCGCATCACAGGAGTCCTGGACATGCTCAACAGCTTCAGAGGTAAGAGCCAGCTGCTTGGCAGTCTGGCCCTTCTCTGGAAGGTTCCTTGGATAAATAGTTTCCCTCTGAAATTTTATTTTTTCTGATATAAAGGTGCATTTATCATGCATTGTAGAGATAGTATATATTATTTATAATACTCAGAAGTTTTGACCAACCATAAAAATGAATAAAATATTCATAAGCAGAACAATTCTAATGCTAGCAGATACATTTCAAAACAACTGAAAGGCAGGGGATCAGTGAATGTGGCCTACCATGTTAGGCTCATTCTAGAGAGCAAGTCTAGGTAGCAGAGGACTGAAACCAGTATTAAACTGAATCAGAGTCTGAACAGGTAATGTAAAGCCAGACATTGTTTTCAGAAACTTTTAAACTACACATGTATTAATTTCTATCAACTTTTTTAATGTTTGAAAATATAGCAGGCACAATTTATATATTCCCATAAATACCCACATCACAGCAAAGTGGTACCTATTTATTGATGATATTAAAGAAAAATAATACAAACAATATTTAATACATACAAATAATAAATAATACAAAAATGATATTTCTTTTCTACTAAAGAAAAAAGTTTTAGGTGTACCCTGAAACAAACTGCCTAAAAGTAGATATTAAATTATTGCTTCACACCATGATATGGCTAGGTTTTTTTTGTGTGTGTATGATTTGAAGGATTTCTGTGTGCTGTGGTTGTAATAACCCTTAATCTTCATAAATGAGTGAGTCAGAACTCTCTTTGCTTCCTTGACTCTGTATTTTCTTGGAGAAGAGGATTAATAAGTGAATAACAAGGCACAGGGCCTCTGATTCCTCGGCAATCTCTGATCTGATTTTTGCCTCTTTTTGCAGTGGAAAATCCTCTGAGTAAGGAAACAGCCAGTTGCTATATGAGCCTTTCTGAGGATGTGAAAAGGTGGATATTTGACAGCGACCATCATGATGCACCTGGAGAGCCTCAGCGAGCAGAGAGCTTTGCTGCATGGGGAGCTCAGTCCTTCACCTCTGGCAGGCATTACTGGGAAGTGGATGTGGCACACTCTTCCAACTGGATTCTGGGAGTCTGTAAAGATTCCTGGACAGGGGACTTGAGTGTTATTGATTCTGAGAAAGAATATTTTCTGTTTTCTTCAAAGAGGAACAATCATTATAGTCTCTCCACCAACTCCCCATACTTAACTCAGTATGTGCAAAGGCCTCTGGGTTGTGTTGGGGTGTTTCTGGATTATGAAAATGGAACTGTGAGCTTTTATGATGTTTGTAAAGGTTCCCTCATATATGGTTTTCCTCCTACCTCCTTCTCTACCCCTCTTAAGCCTTTCTTTTGTCTCGGTTTTCTGTGAAAAGTCATGTTTCATGATGCTTTATGGGTAAATTCCCATGTCTGAGAAAACTACAGTCCTGAGATTTCACTTGAGGCAACAGGACTTTGCATGAGGGCCTTTGAGCTCATTGTAACTTAGTGAAATATAATGATTACTTTGTATGGCTATAACATGGAATAACCACATTGAATGTATGGATTTGCTTACTAAATATAATAAAGTTTTTTCTATGGAATATTTGCTGGATTATCAATAATAACTTTTTCCTTTTTAAAAGAATAACATATTCAGTGAGATAAATTAACCTACTATGAAAGTCTCTTTCAGAAGTATTTAATCCAGTGATTTTTTAGCATAGCAGAGTTGTACAGTCATAACTATATAATTCCAGGGCAGTTTCATCACTCCCAAAAGAAACACAATATCCATTAGCATTTGTTCTCCATCCACCCTTCCCCATCTCTTGGCAACCTTTAATATACTTTTCATCTTTATGAATTCATGCAAATGGAATCACACAATATGTGGCTTTTCTGTAGTGGTATCTTTCCAGAATATATTTTCAAGTTTCATCCATGCTGCAAACAATTCTGTACTTGCATATTTGAACCAGATTGAAGAACGAAGTGGTGTATATCTCAGCTTACTAAACAAAATGAAGAGTGCTTATTTTCTCTTCAAATCTGACCTAAATAAATAGATCTGAAAGACTTCATCATTTCTTTAAATCTTGATCATTTATTACATTTCAACTCATAGAACAGTGTTGTAGGGAAATCCTTTCTGACTCCACAGATAAGGGTAGCTCTCCTATCACACACTCTCTGAGTATATTATAATATTGTACCATAATATTCAACACATTGTTAAACTTATTACTACTAAATAGAAAATTCTAATCAAGTAGAGACAGTATTTTTCTTATTTGCTAATATATTCCCATTATCTCATTATATAATGCAATATGTAAAACATAGTACATAATAAATATGAGGCAAATAAATGGATAAAAAGGGAAGAAGTTAATATAAGCAAGTGTGAAGAATGTTTTACAAAATATAAGTAACATAATAGGATAGAAAATACTAATAAATAATGTCATAAAAAGATAAGAGACTGATTTCCAGATACACAGTCTAAGAAAATTCCATTATGTTGTTGTGGTTTATAAAATGATAGCATAATTTTATTCTATATTGTTGATTTTTATTTTCTCAGGATGCTCAATATAAACCAGTAGACAATGAAAGTGATTAGGGAACACAAAATAGCACTTAGGATAATGGAGACATGTATATTTAATTACGTACTAAGCATAAGGTGATATAACCTTTCTTAATCAGTAGAAAGAACAAAATTAACATTTGAAGCCGGGCTCGGTGGCTCAGCCTGTAGTCCCGCGCCTTTGGGAGGCTGAGGTGAGTGGATTGCCTGAGCCCGCGGGTTCAAGACCCGCCTGGGCAGCAAGACCTCATCTCTACAATAAATCAAAAAAATCAGCCAGGTGTGGTAGCTCGCGCCTTTAGTTCCTGCTACTTGGAAGGCTGAGGTGGAAGGATCGCTGGAGCCCAGCAGGTTGAGGCTGCGGTGGCTGGGAGCAGCTACTGCACTCCAGTCTGGGCAACAGAGTGAGATTCCAACTCAAAAACAAAACAAAACAAAGCAAAACAAACAAACAAAAAACATTTGAAAGAATAATCCAAGTGACAGAGCATGGAAAATTTTATCATAGAAGGTGATATCTATGTCCCTTGAGAGAGACAATTGTATAATTTGTAATGTACTAAAAACCATGGAAACTGAGAGTTCATTTCTCATAGTCAGCATACGTGAAAACCTCTCAAGACACTGGCTGGGGCACAAACTAACTTACTCTTACACAGGCCTCAAATTTTAAATGATTCAGAGCGTGTGTTCCTCTCTCTCTCTTTTTTTTTTTTTGAGACAGGGTTTCATTCTGTTGCCCAGGCTGGAGTACAGTGGCATGATCATGGCTCACTGCAGTCTTGATCTCCTTGGTTCAAGTGATCCTCCCAACTTAGCCTCCTAAGTAGCTGGGACTATAGCAGACATCACCATGCCCAACAGTTTACTTTTTTTTGAGTGTTTCCCAGGCTGGAGTGCAGTGACACGCTCACAACCATCCCAGCGTCGATCTGCTGTGCTCTGGCGATCCTTCTGCCTCAGCCTTCCAGGTAGCAAGAACTACAGGCAGGCTACCATGCCCAGCTAATTTTTTAAAAATTTATTGTAGACACAAGGTCTTGTCAAGTTACCCGGGCTGCTTTAACCTGAGGGCTCAGGCAATTCACTCACCTCGGCCTCCCAAAGTGCTGGGATTACAGGCTGAGCCACCAAGTCCAGTCAGTTTACTTTTTTATAAAGACGGGGTCTCAATGTGTTAGCCAGGCTGGTCTTGAACTCCTGGTCTCAAGTAATGCTCCTACCTCCATCTCCAAACTGTCATCATTACAGGTGTGAGCATCTCCATGTGCAAGAAACTTCAATTTGTTGCCATGTCTCTTCCAACAAAAAAACTGGGAAAAAAAATCACTGGGGTAAGGGTATCTGACTTTACAGAAATGACTTGGTATTTTTCACAGCACTTCTCTTCCCATCCTGTTGGTTCAAGTTTGGGCATATGGCACCCCGAGTTTTGAGATAAATCTGGAAATGTTAGATACACACAAAAGATGATTTATGTGTATTGCATGTTTCAGGAAAAAAATCCATTAAATGATTACCACAACAGAGCATAACCCAAGAGGCTGTGTTCATTGAAAAAAAAGCAAGCCGGGCTCGGTGGCTCAGCCTGTAATCCCGCGCCTTTGGGAGGCTGAGGTGAGTGGATTGTCTGAGCCCGCGGGTTCGAGACCCGCCTGGGCAGCGAGACCTCATCTCTACAATAAATCAAAAAATCAGCCGGGCGTGTTAGCGCATGCCTGTAATTCCGGCTACTCGGAAGGCTGAGGCGGAAGGATCGCCGGAGCCCAGCAGGTCGAGGCTGC